GCTTGTCTCTCCTTCTCTCGTCACTCCATTGGTCTTTCTTTCAAGCTTCGGTGAAACGGACGAGTGAAAAAGCGCTCGACTTTGACAGTTTCGCCTTTCATGAAACACGTCAACAGAGGTTTCATGACGTATATGAAGGAAAATAAATATATATATTTAAAGCATTTCTCACTTGAAAACACTTGAAGATTACACGTAATATGTTTAATTTATCTTCCATCCACATATTTATCTAAAAAAAATAACGAAAACGGGACATAACGCATTTTAAACAAATTTATAGAGATGTTCGTGAAAGGGATTGAAAGCCATAATGATGTTTCGTTTAACTAGAAAATCGACGTTACTTACATTGAAAGCAATGAGCAAAGCAACGACGAGAAGATCCACAGGCAGCCTTTCATTCTAAGCGTGCCTCTTTTTCATTTTCGTTTCCTGCTGATACAGAAATGAAGCGTTGAACACGTTGTATGAGAGAAACAAAACTCGATTTCTTTTAAGAGCTTCGAATGTAGAGCCCTGATCCAGATAGTTTTAAAAGATGATCAATGGCTGCTATGCTCTGAATGGCATGTAAATTTTAACATTACTTTATGTCGTCGTTCAGACGTAATATTAATAAAAAATAAAATTTGCGGTATGGTATTTGGAACATTTAGGTATAGCAGTTATGGCAATAGTGTTCCCTTTTTACAACTCTGTTGGTAAATAACGATTAGATTTTTTTATAATGTTGCCAAAATGACAGTATGAGTATGAGTTACAATTAAAGGAGTATTTGGGCCATTCCTGGTACCGTTAAACGGGGTTTCTTTGATAATGCGGGTAACTTTGATAGGAGAATATAATGATTATGCATTATTTCCAAATTGGAAATATTGGATCCATTTTGTAGCTAAGTGTATTACCTTTGATATTGTATAGAGTTTCTATATAGGGGAAATGGATGTAATGTCGGCCTAAATGCATCTAATTTGGGCCCATACATAGATTCAGCAATCGACTAAAGTTTCAATAGCGACCAAAAATATCCATTAGTACCGTCCCAATGACGCGTTCATCTAGATAAAACTGATAAATAGCAGATTTTTAGCGATGGGCCCAATCTTAGATCCATAGGCCAACATTAGAACCAATTCCCCTAGTATGTTTTACATATTTTCCAAATATCTGAAAGAATTTTTTTTTTGTTTTTTGCCTGATTCCCTGATTTGCCTGAAGGCACTCAAGCAATCACTTATGAAATATATCTTCAGCGGCGCCGGTGATGCAGTGGTAAACGTGATTGCCTCTCACTCCAAAGAGCCTGTGTTCAATCCCAGTCGGCACCGCCGGGATTTTCCGAGTCATAACATATCTGATTATAATTATCTTACGAATTATCCTCAGAATTACTACTATCAAATACTCTTCACAATTGCCTTGGAATTTTATGCAGAACTTTTCTAAAATTTAAATTAGACTTCACTGAAGTTATCTCTCAAATTTCATTAGAATTATTAAATAATTAAAACTACAGTACGGGTAAAATTTGTCTGTAATAGATGAAATCAGGAAATGGATGAAAACGCTATGTTTAACCTTCTTCATGGGATATAAAGGTTTACCATATTCGGTTCAGCGCAAAAAGTTTTGCGATCTACTAAAACTAGCTCTGCTAAAAATGCTAAGCCCTGGGTCGAAACCCAAACATAATAAATAATTCTTCTACTGCCGCAAAAATCTCTTAATTCCAACAAATTTCTCAAGACTTCCCTAAATTTCTCAGAACTTTTTAAACGTTCGTGCAATTTTCCTGAGATTCATTGATCTATCAAGAAGTTCCTAAATTTCCTAAAACTATTCGAAACTTAAGGTCATAGAAAATCCCTTAAAATCCCTTAACTTCCCTGATTTTCTCTGTACTTACCTAAAATTTTCGTTCCTTCATGACAATGTTCCTTTAATTATCAAGTTTGAACGGATTTCCTGATATTGATAAAATTTCTTTCAAAACCCCGCAATTTTTTTTTCCCTTTGTTTTGTTTTTTCCGTCGATCTTGTTTTCCGTGCTGAGCACCAATGCTACCAGGAAGGCAGCTCCCACACCTGGACTCTACCTATCGACCCATCAACTCATGAACCGGGGACCAACGGCTTTACGGCGTGATCAGAGATGTTATGCCTCAGAACATCCCGGCGGCGCCGACTGGGATTGAACTCAGGCCTGCTGGGGTGAGAGGTAATCACGCTTACCACTACACCACCGGCGCCGTTGACCGATGAAGGTAGAAAAAGCGAGTTTGCTAAGAGCGCTTCTTTTGTTTTGAGAACAATGAGTGTAAATATTCACCGAATACGCTCTAATAGGCTTTGTGTTGTAGCTTGTGAACTAACGCATCAGTACAAACGTATTACTGATTTGTGCACGGTCAACCCGAGCAAAGTAGAATAACAACCCGATATCATCTAGATAACAAGTCTTGTTATCCCAGATATCATTTTGTTTTCAGTTGTTATCGCATAACTTATTTAGTTATCAGCCTTGATCAATTTTGTTATCAGTTGTTATCATGAAAAATTCACTATAAATTTATTAACGATGCAAGGCTAGTTCAAAACTTTAAATATTATTCGCATTGAAACAATAACAAATAGTGCTTTTAATCCCTAATCATATTTCAGTTATCAGCGTAAGATTTTGATAACAAAATGATAACATGATTTGAAATTTATGGAATAAATTTGTATGGCTTACAGAATTTGTTATCAAGATATTATCAGTGCTAACAAAATTAGTTATTTTTGTGATATCCAACGAGCAATTTTTTGTTATCATTTTTGTTATGTTGGCTGTTAATTCAACCATAATGATAACATATTCAGTTATCAAAAAGTGATAACCGGGTAATAGAACTTGTTATCAATTTGATATTTTACTTTGCTCGGGAAATCATTGATTATACTGAAGTTTTCTGCTCGATAGAACGGAAATGGACGATTACGACGAAGTAGCGCTCTACCTTACTTCTAAAAAATTTAAACCAATTTTGAAAAGATTGGATTCAGCTCGGAAATTGTTGACACCGAATTGATTGTTGAATGTAGAAAAGAATTGAATAATTAAGTATCATTGCAGCAGGTTTGTAAGTTAAGAAATTTAGATCAAATGCGATAATCAGGTGACTACGGTGAGTTGGGCACATCGTAACAATACCAGATAACGATCCAATGTCCAATCCAATGGTCTTGGTAGTGACCCGACTGGAACAAGACGAAGATGTGCGCAGTGAACATGAGGGATCGATCAGATTGAAGGCGGCTTACCTAGTGAGTTGCCAAAAAAGATTAGGAATGATGTTCGATGAAATCCGTTTTCAACAACTTGAAACTGAATTCAATTGCGTTTCAACCGCGTTTCAATGCGTTAGGCCAAGTTTAGAAATCGTAGGCCGAGCTTGGCGTCAAGAAACAGTGTTTGACTTTTGACAATATCTCAAACAAATTTCGAAGGCATCTGCAGTAAGAACATTCATTTTTTTTCTTTTTTTTTTGCGTGGAGGCGTAACAGCCTCAGGCTGAAAGCCTCCTTAATAAAGATAAATCAATCAATCAATTTTTTTTGAAAAAAAATCCGTTCGAAAAATAGAAGCTAAAGGCAGGTTGTCTAAAATGAGATCGAAGCCCTATTCACTCAGTCTATTGGTACTACTCCGAGGCTGAGTAAAATGTTCGTCAATTTCCTCATTTTCCGGCAGATTTTTTAGGTTTTCCACACGAAACCATGAGACAAATTTACTCATCGCTGAGTTCCTGCACTTTTGGCGATTATGAGTGAACTAAACTCAAATTTGGGCTGTTCTCATTCGCCGTGTAGACACAATTGCAAGTGGTAGTTGCAATGTATCGTCCATGTATGTGAATTTATTTGCAAATTATGTGAATTTGTTCGCAAATTATGTGAATTTGTTCCCAAACAATAAGTTACACTACGCATGGAGTGACCAATGTGCAGCGGTTTCGATTTAATATAGCTTTTTGCTTTGTAGCAACATACGATCTTACTGACAGCAATCCCAACTATACTAGCATCACTTCCCTGCATCCTGAACTGCTTGTGGCTCGTTCTCTCGTTCCTGTTACCAACACTCACATTGCGGGAAAATCCTGCGGAGAGGAAAATGCTCATCTCCCGATCTCATCTTTCCTACCGACGACGACGACGGATTGTGTGCTGTCGGAACGCTTTTCACTCGCAAGTACTCATTTACTGGCCAGCGAGTCAACTCGGTCGGTCGGTTGGTAGGTTGACACTCTCGAGCCAGTCCTTCCCCGCTACGATTCAGTCACAAGCTCTTTCGTGACGCGTATCGCACCTCGCAGGGTGGTCTACTGAAGTGAACTTTTTGGAAATCCTTTTGTTCCTCTTATCGTGATTCCCTCTCCACTGCCGCCGCACCGCGTTTCGTGTTCTCCACGTTTTCCGCGCACGGTTTGTTGCAATGGGGACGCACGGTCCGGTACCGTACTACGGATGGCTGCTGTTGCTGCATGCCAGCACCGTCCCTCCAAGGACCTGACCAAAACTCGTTTATTTGATTTTGGCGTAAAACTTTTGCTTCTTCTTCTGTGCTCCTTCTCGGTCCCAAGCGAACAAGTGAGAAAGTTCAATTTTTCTTGACGATTAGTGCAAATTTGCAAACTGCCCTCGACGTCTTCATGTGTCTCCTTTCTTCGGTAGGACGTTCGAAGGAAAAATCTGCGAGAAGAAATAGTGGCAAAGTTTCTCCGTTCCCCCCGGGGACAGCAGCCACGCGTGAGAACAGAAGAGTGTGAAAGGAGTTGACGATGGTGATAAATCTTGGTCGAGATTGGTTGGTCAGAAAGCTTTTCGATGGTTCGGAGAATGTTTGACGTGTGCTTATTGGAAGTGAGCGAGACGAGTTTGAGCGGTGATAAGAAAAGAGTATCGAACTTAAGTGCAGTTCAATAATACCATAAATCTTTAAATCTATTTTCAGTGCCATCTGCTGGTGGAGTGGTGAACAGAAGGAAACAAGACATATGAAAGGACGGCCGAGTGGTGGAAAATCTGTTCGAAGAAATTTGCTCGGAGAGTTTGCTGCAAAAGCTTGAGGAGACAGTTTTGCGGATCCATAAGATTTAATGTTGATTAAATTAAATGAATTATTCAAATTGTTACGTAACGTACTTAAACTAGTAGCGGAATTTGCGGATATACGGAGGAGAAGAAAGCAAATGAAAGCTTAAAAGTGTATACTTTGTTCCGCGGAGAAATGAAACCAGTGTGGCAGCTCCGAGGAGCCAAAGCGAAAAGCAAAGAAAGTGCAAAGTGTGAGCGAGTGTGACACAGTGCTAAAAAATTCATTCCAATTTGGTGAACTGATAATTAAAAGAAAATTAACGAGTGCTTCGCAGTGCAAAAAGGAAAAAAAAAGGTAGTTGGAGAAAAAAAAAAAATAAGGAAGAAAGAAGGGTAGTGCATGAAAATAGCAAATTTCGGGGCAAAGTTGGTGGCGCAAGAGTTGAGTTTCGTTCGGTCTCCTATGTATTGCGGTGGTGTCACTGTAGCTGTAGCTGAACCGGTGGTTGCTCTCGGCAGTGTAAAATTCTTGGAAAATGTGCAGTTTCCTCTTATGCAACGCTGGTGGAGCCATTGTAAATAGGAGAAGAGACTTTTTCGAGAGGTAAGTCGGGGACGTTTTGTTTCTATTTTGGCGCTGGCGATCGTTTAGCGAATCTTTTATGTGGAGCGTGAGATGGTTGGGCAACGTTTCTGACTAGGGCGAAAGAAAGCATCAGAGCAACATTGTTTCTAAATTGAATTTCAAGGCATGCCACCACTGCTGCTGGGAACATTGGATCCCACTTTAACTCGCTTTGTTTTTTTTTAATGCTGGTTAGAGATCTGGTAGAACAATTACATGCTTCTGTATTCAAGTGGGAATGAATGCTATTTAAATGCAACGCTATTCAAATAGTAATTAGACTAAGATCTTTGGACTGGTTTAATTAAATGGGTTCAGATTTAATGGGGCTTAAATAGATTTCTTTTGTGGGACCCAAGCACTGTTTTTTGTACCTCAAATTATATCTAACTGCAATTATTATTATTAAATTCATAAAAATATAATTATTCAAGGAGCAAATCTATTCCTTTTGACGAAAAATGGCTAATCCAGACATAATAGTAAATAAAAAAATTACATAATTGATCGCTTTAAGTTTGTACTGTATGTATGTATGAACAATCCAACTTCCACTGTCTGGTTGTGGCATTATGGATAAAATATGCCTGCAACATTTGTGTTTAAACTGCAAGAAACTTGATCCCGGGAGTAAGAAGGTGATATCTCTACCGTAGATCGAATAGCCCACTTCAGGAACGCAAGTATTTCGATGCTTTTTTCACATAAGTTAAGCCCTGCCACAATACATTATCGAATACTGATTATGTCCTGAAACTTGTTTGAGTGAAAGTAGTGCATCATTTTATTGATGTAAATACCCATGTTTTTAAAGGTCATTTACGGTACGAATACACATTAAATGAAGGAACGAGCTCACAAAATGAGTTTCGAGAAAAACTCTTTGGTCAAATGGAACTCTTTCCTTTCAAAGCTGATTCGACGGTCTTAATAGCTATCATTGTCCTGACACGATTAATGCGAACGTAAAAATTGAACTGGACTGTTAATTTCGAAATATTTCAATTAAAAACTGTTGCTGCTTCCAGCCAGCTGACGGAAGAAGAGCGACAATACGTGAAGTTTACCATTTTCAGAGTTGGCTGGAAATGCTATCTAACATGAAGCTTTAGTGTGATAATTTATTAGCTAGAGAAAGGTCTGAAGAGGGGGTAGGTTGATAGTTCCACTAGAGTACGGCAGTATGCGTTTGACTAGTACTAAGGCCTCTACTCGAAAAAAATACACCAGACAAAAGTGTTCGCCAAACATTTATTTTAAGTCGGATTTTCTTGAAACTTTCAGGAAATGAACTAATACATATGGATTATGTTTTGGCATAATTACTTTATTCAATTTCCTTTCCATCGCTGAAAGCCCGCACCTTTCTCTTAAGACCCCTCATTACATTTTGTGCAATGGTGGAGCCGACCTTTTTGGTCACTTTCATCCATTCTTTCTTCAACTCCAGCTCGTTCTTAAACACTTTGGACGATTTTCGAACTTTGGCCTTCATTATGGCCCAAAATCTTTCCACCGGACGAATCTCTGGTGAATTTGGGGGGTTGGCGGTTTTTGGTACAAAAACAACGTTATTGTCTCTGTACCAATCCAACGTCGATCGCGCGTGATGCCAGGTCCAGCCAAAATAATGTCTCGCCTCCGTGGGAAGGGCAACAGATGCTTCTGGAGGCACTCGGTGCGGTAAATTTCGCTGTTGATGAAACCCATTGCGATGTACGGTTTACTCAGTTTAATGCATTGTCATATGGCATATTGGCATTGGTTTGAATGATTATATGTTTGAAGTGGTAGGGTGTAACGGCGCCGGTGGTGCAGTGGTAAGCGTGATTCCCTCTCACCACAGCAGGCCTGGGTTCAATCTCAGTCGGCGCCGCCGGGATGTTCTGAGGCATAACATCTCTGATCACGCCTTCCGCCTTCACGGGATGTAAAGCCGTTGGTCCCCGGTTCATGAGTTGATGAGTCGATAGGTAGGGTCCAGGTGAGCTGCCTCCCTGGCGTCGGTAGCATTGGTGCTCAGCACGGAAAACAAGATCGACGGAAAACAAACCAAGGAAAAAAAAGTGGTAGGGTAGAGAGCTACTTCTGCCTAAGTGCCCATTTTGGGCCTATTAAGCAGAAAACATCAAATAAATCCATGATTTCCGCGTTAACAGGTAAATTATGCTTTTGGTACGATACTTTAGTTCAAATGCTACTGAACGAAGTCAATAAGAACGCGTGATATGAATGTTTGCACCCAATATTCTCAAAAACAAATGATGCGCTCCGACCGAAACAATCTTTATCTTCATCCGATAGGCCGAAGAGAATTCATTGGCGTTTCAATGCGTTACGCTAAGCTTAGAATCCGTAGGACGAGCTTGGCGTCAAGAAACAGTGTTAGACTTTCAACAATATTTCAACCATTTATTCCTTTTTATCAAATCTTACGGTACGTATGGAAAGGTAAATACATTTCGAAGCCTTAAGTAATAATAACATTCCATTTGGTGCTAAACTACGCTAGATTAAGAAAGACTAAGTACGGGTTGTGCTTTATAGGCCGAAAATGGGGTAGTTACCCCTATTACTGAAATTTGAGAAATTATTGGATTTGTATATTTGTTGATGTGAGTATGGATGGATCTGATGACTTGTGTTTACCCTTAAGTCATCACTCTGAACTGAGAGCCTTGTAAGCTCATATCATTAGTTGCTGAGTAAGGGTTGAGAATTATGTAAATAAATCAAATCTATGAGGAGAAGCGAGTTTGTGTTTGCTCAGTTGAATCATTTAATGTTTCAATTTAAGAACTTTTTGGAATTGATAAAATGTGTCTTCTCTTGAACCTTCACTCTGAACTGAGAGCCTTGTAAGCTCATATAAATAGTGCCAAAGAATTGTCGAAATGAATCAAATCTATGAGGAGCTACGAGCTAGTGTTTGCTCAGTTATGTGATTTTGATTTTGCTGATGAGACAATTTGAAATTCAAGTAGGAAGTTGTTTAACTGAAGGATATTTTGTTGTTTTGTCAAATGAATTTGAAAACTTGTGTTTACTCTTGAAGCTTTACTCTGAACTGAGAGGCTTTTAAGCTCATATAATTAGTTGCAGAATGAGGTTTGATAATTGTCTAAAGGCATCAAATCTATGAGGAGTTACGAACTTGTGTTTGCTCAGTTGAATGATTTCGATTTTTCTGACTAGGTAATTTTGACATTCGAGTAGGAATTTGCTCAACCGAAGGATATTTAGATGATTTAATCAAATGGACTTGACAACTTGTGTTTGTTTCTTGAATCCCCACTCTGAACTGAGAGTCTTGTAAGATCATATAAGGGTTGAGAATTGTCTAAATAAATCGAACCTGTGAGAAGAAGCAACCTTGTGTTTGCTCAGTTGAATGATTTAATGTTTGAAGTGGTATTATAGGAATTTGAGAACTTATTGGTTTTGAAGATTTATGTTTTCCCTTGAACCTTCACTCTGAAATGAGAGCCTTGTAAGCTCATATCATTAGTTACGGAGTAAGGTTTGAGAATTTTCAAAATTATACTAATCCATGGGGAGTTGCGAGCTTGCGTTTGCTCAGTTGAATGATTGCATGTTTGAACACAGCAAAAAAATAATTTTGATATCACATCAAAGTGGATGCACTACAATCATGTCGAAAATTTCATGTAATTTTTATGACCACATAAATAAACAAATGCAGTAAAAGCAGCGTAATGTCAGTTCATGCATTGTATTAATGATAATTTTGTCCTTTTTAGCAAGTAATATTACACCATATTTTCGACATGATTATAGCATAGAGGTAACTCTAAGACTAGAAAGTCCCGAAATAACGTGCTCAACTTTTTGGCTCAGCTCTGGTACTCTCTTCGGTCCCAAGCTAATCGATTCACCCCTCGAAACATAGGAAAAACCAATAACCCCTCATTTTATCTGTCAAACTTTCATAGCGAATCAAAACAAACATTGCGTAGTACTAGAATTTCGACTAGAATGGGATACGTTAATCGTTTGCTTGGGACCAATAGGCTAGTCAAGTAGTGAGCCAATTTAAAATCGTTAGTTTCGTATTGATTGTTGATTATAGTGCATCCACTTTGACGTGATATCAACATTATTTTTTTGCTGTGAAGGGTTATTATTGGAATTTAATAAATTATTGGATTTGTGTATTTGTTGATAAGAGTAGAGGAAGGGAATAATGTGGTAGATGTGGTTGGTTTGAATCAATATTAATAATAATATAGTAACACAATATAAGCATTTCCATTATAATGATAACAGCATGTATTTCAAAATATAATAAAATCTTGTAACCTAATTTGATCTACTCTATACTTGAGTGAAATCAAGTCAGTGTGTAGTATGATGTAAATAAACGCTCACTCACGCACACACATGCTCGTTCGAAAGAGCAGGCTCTGGCTTGAGTGCTTTTCCTTGTACACGGAGAAAAAATACTACCCAAAATTTGAGTTCTTTTTACTTAATATTGACTTCAGCCTCTCACTTGCACTCGTTATTGTTGTCAAAAAAGGAACAAGAGATTCGACCCAACGATATAGTTCAGCCCAATAAGTTACTTTTGAGTAAAATGAATATTCTCAAATTTACGTGAATTAAACTTAATTTTGGGTAGAATATACTTAAGAGTAGGTAATTTTTTTTGCTGGTTTTAAATGGAAACTACTATATGCGATTTACTCAAATTTGGGTTATTGGACTGAACCCCGGAATTGAGGGAAAAGTACTTAATTTTGGGTATTTTTTCATCTCCGTGTACATGGTTAGGTTGAGTCAGTCTTGTAGGATTGGGCGATCTTCAGAGAAAGATCGATCTTGAAGATTTGGGTCTAGGATCGATCCATTAATTAAACTGGTTCCAAAGAACCGTTCTTTGGCAGATCAATCTTTTGATTTTTATTTTAATACACTTGTTTACGGTGGTACCCCAAGAGATTCTTTCCTTTATAATA